GGACCGATGTTAAACATTTTCAATAGGCTTCGTCTACGATACCATAAAAGATCATGTGCCAAATTTCATTAAATTATCTCCAAAATTGCGACCTGTAATTTGATTACAAGGATTACAAGCCCTATTGGGGGGTTCAGTTGTATGGCGGCTAGGTGAAATAATGGACCGATCTTAACCATTTTCAATAGAAGATCATGTACCAAATTTCATTGAATTATCTTCAAAATTGCGTTCTGTAGTTTGATTACAAGGTTAACATGGTCGGACGGACATAGCTAAATCGACTCAGAAAATGATTCTGAGACGATTGGTATACTTTAAGGTGGCTAGAGGACCAATATTATTGTGCGTTACAAACATCAGCACAAACCCAATATACCCTCCCCACTAAAGTGGTGTAGGGTATAAAAAAAGACATACATCACGATATACTAAAGCTTTTTAAAGAACCTGAACATATCAATTATCTCAATGAGAAATAAATATAAAAAAGTATACATACCCAGCAAAAACTCGGTAATGCTTGTACTTACATAACACTTACTTATTAATGACTACTACTTACTTTTAAGCATACTTATAATGACTTACATATAGTCATATAATTAAGTTCTTTATTTTGAGTTTTTCAACACACAGAACGCTTTTCTGTGAAAACGAATATTGGACACAAAATAAAATAACTAAGCATTGGTAAGACAGCGAACTAAAAAACAAGAAGACCGACCCATATTCTGTGTTTTAGTGTTTTTAAAACAAAACAACTTTTTATCTCTTTATTTATAAGTACTTATATAAGTAGTGATTTATAAGAGAGCGTGGTAAGTACTCGCCTCCAATGTCATGACCGTGTTAAAATAATGATTTAAAATGCTATTGAATAAGTAGTGAAAAACGGATTTATTAGCTTTTAACTCATTACTTTTCAATATAAGTTTTTGCTGAGTATTGGTAGGTTTTTATTTATTCACAATTAATTTATATGTATAAATTATATTTAGATAAAACTTATTTCTATATAAGTAGTTAATAATATCAATTATTCATTAAATCATTACATTCGAAAAGAAATATTACCACAAAAGTTGTGTTCAAGCTGTTGCAATAAAAATATTCAATTTCAAACATATATTACCAAGCAACCATTGAATTTTTAAAGCTCATATTAATATATATGATCAGAAATATTGTCAAAATTATTGGTGTCAAATTTTAGCCATTTCTAACAGATAGAAAGTTACAGATTTATGATCAGAAAACGACAAAAATTTCCCACTGTGCATTGGCTTGTCACACGGTACATTCGGGCCTGGTTGTAGGGACATTATGAGACCTTTTGCCATTAGAATGTGTTGGGTGCCGGGGCACTATAATGTGCATGGTGATGAGGTTGCAGACGAACTGACTATATTAGGTTCGAATCTTGATATAGATGACAGAGAAAGGATGGTAAAACCACCCTTTTGTCATTATTATAGGTTGATATTCGAATGATGCCGTGACATCATAGATCAGTCCTGGAATAGTAGAATGAAACCAGTCTAAGGATTCTGATAGGAATGCTAAAGGGGCACTGCTCAGTTATGGCCTTTGTCAGTAAGTGGGACAGCAATTTACTGGACTATTGCAAGTTGTGCGAAGATGAGGAGGAAATAGAATCAATCGAGCATATAATTTACTACTTTCCTCGGCTGAAATGGCTAGGCAATAGATTCCATGATGTAATGCGGGATATTGCGTGTCTCGACCCTCGCTGTTTACTAGGTTTTGTTAAGGGAATTAGTCACTTCTTCGGCTGGGCTTTATAGGGGCTCAAAGACTTTCTCTCTCATATCTGCAGTCTTTATGTCATTGACTGATATTGATTGATTATTTCTATCCTTTTACCTATCTTCTTTCTTTCTTTCTAGTTTTTCTTGTAGAGTTTTTGTTTCTCTGTTTTTGAATCTTCACTCTTTGAAGGGAATCGCAGTGGACCTTATGTCTCCGAGTGGATATGCATCTTTTTATGGTGCATAACCCTTCCAAAAATAAACCTATAAAACTCTGGAAACACTTTATATAAATAAAGTGTACAATAGGGTGGGTCGAAAAAAAAGTTGAGTCAGTCACCCCCTACGATTAAAGATATGGCTATACTGGAATAAAGTACATTTAATTACATAAAATATAGGCTTTTAAAATGCTCACTTTTTTGCATAAAGAGCTATTTTACAGGTATTTAAAAATACCTGTATAGTTCAAACTACAAACAATTAATTTGCTAGGGATGTGGTCGAAAACAATTTTTTTCAAATTAATTTACAATACAAAAATTGCATCCTACCCCTATCTTAACAAAAGAAAGATCATTTTATTCAGCATTTAATTCTATTAATTAATAACAAAATCGCGTAGGTACATAAAAATTAAACATTTTATTCTATAAAAATCGATGAAAAATTAAAGTGTTATGCTAAGTTTTACAAAAATGTATGAAAAACATTTTTTTCCATACAACTACTTGCATGTTTCTTTTTTTTTAACAATTTTTAAAAATGTTTACACTGATTCTTTTAAATAGTTGCATATTTCTAAAGAAGTTCTTTAAATAATAAAAACTAATTAAAAACGAATAATCGGGAATGGCCGACCATATGATACCAGATATGAGCATAACTAAAATATGATTTATGTTTTAATATAGCATTTATATTGAATTTTGTCTTAATTTCCATATCGTCACCTGAAACGCAAACGGCCCTAACTAACCAATAATTAAAAATCGATTTTATTGTTGATTATAATGTATTGCATCAAAACATATGTCCACACAAAAAATTGGACTCCTCCGACCAAAATTAGCGATTTCATTGACAAAAAACAAAAGGCCCTATCTACAAAAACATTTAAATATTAAAGGTAAAAAGTCCAATTTATCCATTTTTATATACGCCATTGTCAACTATCATAATAACTAATAGGTTTCACTATTAAACAATTTGTTTATTCACTAGAAATAAATCGCGTTCATAGAAACAAACTTTTCAATTTCAATAGTTTTTTGCTTCTCCTGTAAAATTTTAAAAATGTTAGATAGGGCCGTTTGCGTTTCAGGTGACGATATACTATTTGAGCAACTTATTGATGAAAAACTGATTTTCTGAAAGAGACTATATATGGGAGCTAGGATCAATTATGGACCGATCCTATAAACATTTGGTGGAGGGTTTTATGTTCTTATAAGAGATAGATATGCAGAATTTCATCCTAATTGTACTGTTTAAGAGGGAATTAACGACCTTGAAGCCATTATTAAGAGCTCCAAAGCCCTATTCGGGGAGTACGGTTGTATGAGGGCTAGTGGAATAATCCATTTTTAAACATTTTCGATATAATCTATATTCAAACAACTTCGTCCTTGGGTAAAATGAAATATATCAGCCTATTTGCATCGAATTATCTGGAAAATTTCGACTTGTGGTTTGATTACAAGTTGGATGGACAAAGCTAAACTACTATAGTGCTGTAGGATATAATAAACTTTCCTCTTTTTTGATAGGAAGTAGGATCTGGAAGGGTTTGTAACTGAAAAAATAACAGTTTTATAATTCATTTTCAAAAAAAAAAAAATGTTTTCGACGGTTTTTTCTGGCAAATTAATTATTTGTTGTGAGAACGGTTGATAATGAATATATGAACATTTTTAAATATCTATAAAATAGCTGTTTATGCATAAAAGTGAGCATTTCAAAAGCCTATATTCCATATAATTAAAAGTTAATAAAGAACTTGTATAGCCACAATTTCAGATTTTGGAGAAGGATCCGAGATATCAGAAGTCGGGCATAGAATGTTACGTCTAATTTAAAAATCGTCTAAGGGTGAAATGTAGCTACAGCCAAGTCATAAATATTGATATATGATATGTTACGATCGGACTTAAAATGGCGGAGTAATATATAAAAAACAAAAAGGGCGGTATTTCTAGGCGTGGCAAAAAAATAATTTTTATATTTTTGGAAATGTTATTAACATATCTTTAATCCTAGGGGGTGACTGACACAACTTTTTTTTTTGTCCATAGAGACCGACCCACTCTAGTGTACAACCATAATGAATTAATACGTATTTTCTAAAATATTACAAAAAATGCGATTTTCCAGAAATACACTGAGTTTAAATCGCCTTTTATTTCCTTATCTATAGATTAGGAAATAAAACGCGAGCATGAGTTCGTATTTGGCAAAATAGTTCGTCATTAAAATGAGAGCTTATATCCAATGAACATTCGATAAATCTCAAGCGAATTTTCATTGGTGCACTATATTTATTTTAAAATGCATTACGAATTAATTATTAAAATTTAAATTAATTTTTTAGCGTGATATTGATAAATCTTAAATATGATAACAAAATAAAACTGATTTTGAATTGCATTAAAATTCATTCAGAGTAAAAATACCCCTTATAATTTAAAATCGGTTAAGCAATCAACTTGATTTTTTCCTTCTCTTATTAAGTAAGATGTTAAAATGTACTTAATATTACTAATTTAACAAGTATTAAATACAAAAATCTAATAAAATTAATGTTATTTTTAATATTTATTGTATGAAATGCACGTTTTCTTTAAGTCATAAGAGAATACCAAATTATAGTGAAATATTAGAGCTACTACAGTAGAGTTACATGAGTGAATTGGATGCAATTTTTCATGCCTTCAAATTTATTAGAATTTAGGCATGTATTTAAAATGCATTAAATTGAACACATACTAAAGAAATCATGAAAATAACCCTTCTTCTTGAACAACTTCAAAGTTTTTTTGCTGGGAAGTAACAAAATGCTTTTTTTTATAATATATCCCAAAAAAAATTTACAGCATCTGAAAATGTATGATATTACAATATTGAGAAACATTTTGTTTTTTTAAACGAAGACTAATAAATATGAATAAATAAAGATTTATCGACCGACGCTCATGTTTTAATTTAAATTTTTGTTCTTATTTATTTTAGAATTTGTTTGCTTATGGCACAACATTCCATTAATTTGAGAAATAATGAGCAGGCATTATCTTGTTTCAAAGAATGCTTAAAATATACACCGAATGACATTGAGGTATTGACATCGCTCGGTCGCCTTTACATGCAAACGAATGCAATGGAAATGTGTCGCGACGTGTGTCTGCAAATTTTGCAGATTGACAGTAACCATGAAGCAGCATCTGTAATGATGGCCGATTTGTCGTTTCGAAAAGTAAGGTTTTAATTTAAAAAAATCAATAAGAGAAATAATTAACATCACCTTTGATTTATTTAGATGGATTTTGAAAATGCAGCTTACCACTTTTCGCAGTTGTTGTTGGCCCAACCTTGTTATTGGACAGCATTAGCTCGTTTAATTGAAGTTATGAGGCGCTCTGGTTCATTGCTGGATGTTATGCCATTTCTACAGCGTGCAGAGCAAGGAACTCAAAATCCCAACCAAGCTCCGGGACTTAATTACTGCAAGGGACTATATGAATGGTATAATGGAAATCCGAATGGTGCACTGAGATACTTTAACGCCGCACGAAGAGACTTTGAATGGGGTCCTCAAGCGATATTTAATATGATTGAAATTTGTATCAATCCGGATGGAGACATTCCAAATGGTTCTGATCTATTAGATAATGGTGACAGTGGAGACTTTAGTGATGCACGTGCTATAGCACTACGAACTGCTGACAGATTGCTCAAAGAATTGCGTCCTCGACCAATTGGTTTAGACAATGAGACACTTAACCATCGAATGTTACAAAACTTTTTAAAATTGGCCTCAAAGCAAAAGTTTCAAATCGAATCTGCCCTTCAGGATTTTGCCGAATTGGCAGCTCGTGATGAATTTCAGAGTTCTGTCGGAACAATATTAGGCATGGCAACCGGTCTCGTGCAGTTAAAACAAACACAAAGGGCTAAAAATCATTTAAAACGTTTAGCTAGAGTTAGTTGGAATTTTGAGGAGGCCGAGTATTTAGAGCGTAGCTGGTTATTATTGGCTGATATTTATGTTAACGCCAACAAATGGGATGTCGCTGAAGGTTTGGTTGATAAAGTTCTGGAACATAACAAATCAAGTGCAAAGGCATACGAACTGTCTGGGTATATAGCTGAAAAATCGCAAAATTATAGAGACGCTGCAAAAAATTACAATAACGCATGGAATTGCTGTGGACGTTCTAAACCTCATATTGGATATAAACTGGCTTACAATCATATGAAAATCAAACGGTTTGCAGATGCTATTGAAATTTGTCAACAAGTACTTAAATTACATCCAGATTACACTATAATTCGTAAGGATATTCTTGAGAAATGTCGAAATAATTTAAGACCTTAAATAATTAGTAATAACAGGCTTGATTTTAATTCTTTTGCTTAAAACAAAGGACTCAAAAAAGTAAAACAGCCCTGCAGGAAATGGAACTAGTACCAAACTAGTATTTTACTAGTACCAAAATCACCAGTACTAGTTCCCAACTGTAAACTTTCCTATACCATCATAATGCTCCAATTAACATTGAGTGTGTTTGAAAAATTAGTAGTACCATTAGTTCTAGACTTATACTAGTACACTTGGACCCAATTGGGTTCTTTAGAACTAGTTTGATACTAGTTCTAATATTCATAAAAGTCGCACAATTCCAAGTTAAAATTACTACACAACTAGTTTTTTATAAGGTTTTATTTCTAAAGATACAAAAAAAAAAAATACAATAAAAAATGTTGTAAATACATTTACCTAACAATTCAATATGAAAATTTGAAGAAATTCTGGTTTCCAAAAATTCCTTTCAGGCACATATCTCCATTTCGTTATAAAAACATTTGCCGTACGATAAAATTTAATAGACGTACTTACATAGGGATTTGCCAGCAACCGGACCTAAATTTGCATGCACTATTTATCCTCTCATTTGAAGGGATATGTTTGAAAATATCGTTTTTTATGCAAAATGTTTCAAAATTATATTTTAATAATTTAAAAAATTTATTTTTTTCAACACATGTCAAACAAAAATCAGCTTTAGAAAATAAGCACAGTTTTTAGTAACAATGCAAGAAATCTAACATTTAACTTTTATCTTAGAAAAACCTATTTTTATACCCACCATCAAAAAAGATGGGGGGTATATTGATTTTCTCATTCCGTTTGTAACACATCGAAATATTGATCATAGACCCACAAAAGTATATATATTCTGGGTCCTCATTAAATTCTAAGACGATCTAGCCATGTCTGTCCGTCTGTCCGTCCGTCTGTCTGTCTGTTGAAAGCACGATAGAGTCCGAATGGAAAGAGCTAGTGGGTTGAAATTTCACATAAATATTTCTTATAGGTAAGGTTTGCTTGGTATAGAAAATGGGCAATATCGGTCCACGTTTTCGGATAGCCCCCATACAAGAGGCCCCTCGAAAAGCAGCTTTAACAGCCATAACTTGTTTAAAAATACGAATATAGCGATGAAATTCGACATAAGTAAGTTTCTTGTGATCCAAAATCACTATGCAAAATTTTATGAGGATCTGTCCATAATTGACCCTACCCCCCATATAAGGTCCCCTTCAGAAAATGACTTTAACGCTCATTACTGGCTTAAAAATACTAGTATATAGATGAAATTCGACATAAGTAAGTTTCATATGAGTCAAAATCTATCTAAAAAATTTTATGTTGATCAGTCCATGATTGACCCTACCACCCATATAAGGTCCCCTTCAGAAAATGGCTGCAACGCTCATTAATGGCTTAAAAATACGAGTGTAGCGATAAAATTCGACACAAATAAATTTAATACGAACCAAATTCTGTCTACCAAATTTTATGAGGATCGGTCCATAATTGACCCTACCTCCCTATATAAGGTCCCCTTCAGAAAATTACTTTAACGCTTATAACTGGCCTAAAAATACGAGTATATAGATGAAATTCGACATAAGTTTCATTCGATTCAAACGAGGTTTGATGGTGGGTATATAAGATTCGGCATAGCCGAATATAACACTTTTAATTGTTTTGTTTGGTTCTGACATACATACATACATACATACATCCACACATACATACATACATACATACATACATACATACATACATACATACATACATACATACATACATACATACATACATACATACATACATACATACATACATACATACATACATACATACATACATACATACATACATACATACATACATACATACATACATACATACATACATACATACATACATACATACATACATACATACATACATACATACATACATACATACATACATACATACATACATACATACATACATACATACATACATACATACATACATACATACATACATACATACATACATACATACATACATACATACATACATACATACATACATACATACATACATACATACATACATACATACATACATACATACATACATACATACATATATACATAGACTTATCGCGATAGCATCACGTTAACTGGTGACACCACGGCTCTGAGGGGAAAACGATTTTTACAAAAATTTTGGCATTAAATTTATTTTTATGGATTTTAACATCAATAATTAGAATATATATTCTATTATCGTTCCAATAAGATATAAAACACATAAATCGGTAAAAAATTGAAAATGTTATTACAAATTCCTCCGATCCTTCAGTGTCACAAAACACTTAAATGCAAAATATTAAAAAAAAAAAATAACAAATTTTGGGAAATATTCTAATAAGATCATGTGATTACGTTAAGACCGGGTTTTTGAGTTGGCAATTAAATGCCAATTAATAATTAGATTAGTTAATCTAAACATAAATTTAATCCGATGTTAATACCATTTGATGTTTTTGAGTACAAGATTAAACTTCGCAGTGTTGCCATACAAAACAACAGAAAACGTCACTGTTTGTTATCAAAACAATGCATGTTTTTTAAAAAAGAAGAAGACAATTTAAATTTAATATGAAAATTAATGAAAACTTAAATTTAAAACAAAAAAAAATTATTTTGAATAGTCCGTAATTTATACTAATCAATAAATAGAACATTTTAATGTTTATTTTTATAAAAATTGTATTAATTTTTTTGCATCAGCTGTTTACACATTTTAATTTTTTGCTCAAGTTTAAACCACCTCCATTGGGCGCTTAAACTTGCAAACAAAATTAACTAATTGAGTACTCAAAAACAACTTTCGAGGATTAATTTTAATTTAATCGCTAATCTTTCACCTAAAGATTGGCCCTAAATATATTCATAAAATTAAATTTAATCAAATGAGATTTCAAAAACACATACAAAAGAAATAGCTGACCCAAAAAGTGTAATTACCCAGCAAAAAAAGTGAGGAAAAAGAAGTAGAATTTTCAACACAAATAACATACTTGAAGTACTTCCAATTTTGGTGAAAAACCTATGAATTTTACATTAGCGTGTCATTGGAGGGATGTTGTTCATTTTTGACAACTTTGAACTACATCTAATCTTATTCATAGATGCAGTAAAAATCCGATATTTGGGTGTCAAAAATAAACCACATTCTTTTAATGACACGCTTATGTAAATTTCATTGGATTTTCACCAAAATTTGATGTACTTCGAATATGTTATTTGTAGTGACTTTTCAACATCTCTTTCCTCACTTTTAACTCGGTTTTTATTTGTAAGGAAATATTTGGTTTATAGAAGCGAAAAATATGCAATCGCATTTTTAGATGTGATTAAGATGTCGTTTGTAAAGTATGACATCAATTATTTTTTGCTGGGTACATATATTGATATAGACGTTCATTACTAATTTATTTATTAAATTATAAAAATGACGTTTGAAGTACAAAATATGTTGAGGTTAGAAAAACATATCTCAATTGTTGATTTATGAGTAATGACTCTCAAATACGTAGGATGCATTAGAAGAGAGATATGTATGTACTGTGAGCGTCAAAAGAAACTGTACACCAGTGGCATTTATGTTTAAACTTTTATTTTATTATTTTTTTTATAATGTAACTTAAAATTTTTTTAGTTTTTATTTATTATATGTCCTTCTTAAACTTTTTATTAAAAAACAAAAACAAAACTTTAACAACAACAAAAAATATATAACAAAAACAAATAAATCTTCAAATTCCACGCGTCAAAAGAAACTGTACATTATTTCTACATTAAAATAATAACGTTAGTTAAAAATAATTAGTATTTAGTTTGATTGCCATTTGCTTTTATTACAGCTTGCAGTCTTCTGGGCATCGATTCCACAAGTTTTCTAGTAACTTCAGGGGAAATTTTCAGCCATTCCTCCATTATAGCTGATTTGAGGGAATCCTTGCTTGTAATTTCCCTTTTTCTTATTTGTTGATCCAGATGTTCCCACAAATGTTCTATGGGGTTGAGATCGGGTGACTGGGGGGGATGATCCAACTGTTTTGGAGTATGGTAAAGCAGCCATTCCTTTACTATTTTGGCAGTATGCTTGGGATCGTTGTCTTGCTGGAAGACCCAAGTTCGATCCAAGCCCAATTTTTCAACGCTCTGTGCCAAGTTGTCCTTTAAAATGTTGAGATAATCTGTTTTATTCATAGTATTTTCTATGAATACCAAATTTCCTACACCATTCGCTGCCATACATCCCCACACCATCACCGACCCACCACCATGCTTTACTGTGGACATTACATTTTGCCGATCGAATTCAGAATTTTTCGTTCTCCAAATTTTAACTGGTTTTTTCTTACCAAATATTTCAAATTTACTTTCGTCAGTAAAAAGCACATTGTTCCAGAATATATTAGATTGATTTTCGTATTTTTTGGCAAACTCCCGACGCCGACGTTGATTGATTGGTGAAATATATGGCTTTTTTCTTGGAACTCGTCCATGCAGTCCATTTGCATGTAAGGCTCTGCGTATTGTGCTGGCACTGACACTAATACCGGAGCATTCTGAAATATTTTCGGATATTTTTACAGCACTTTCCGTTGGGTTTTTCTTCACTTGTCGCACAATGGACCTTATTTGAGTACTGTTTAGTTTAGCTGGCCTTCCAGATTTAGGGCGATTTTCTAAATTTGAAAATTTTTGGTACTTATCAATTATATTTTTTACAGTGTTGTGACTTCGTCCAATTATTACACCAATCTCTCGTAAAGATTTTCCTTCTTTGTAAAATTTTAACACAAGTTCACGAACATCCAAAGAAGTTTGTTTGCCCATTTTTAAAAAATACAAAAGTTTCCTTGTTTGAACTGCTTGTGACAAAACCAAATCTATTAATATCTTTAATAATTAGTTAATATTGCTTAAATTGTCATATGAAAGAAAATAAAAAAAAATAACGGAAGGTTTTTACTGTAAAATTGCTTATTATTTGTTGTACAAAATAGTTGTACAGTTTCTTTTGACGCGTGGAATTTGAAGATTTATTTGTTTTTGTTATATATTTTTTGTTGTTGTTAAAGTTTTGTTTTTGTTTTTTAATAAAAAGTTTAAGAAGGACATATAATAAATAAAAACTAAAAAAATTTTAAGTTACATTATAAAAAAAATAATAAAATAAAAGTTTAAACATAAATGCCACTGGTGTACAGTTTCTTTTGACGCTCACAGTATATCTAAAAACTTGATTATTTTAACCAATATTCGTACAATTAAGACATGATCTCAGATCATTTTTACCATCAAAATTATAACATCGAGGTTATTGTCTGTGGTAATTTTTGCTTTATTCGGCATTAAATCCTTAACGAGAAATGTATTAAAATGTTTAAAAAGCACTCAGTTCCTATGACAATTATAAATGTAGCTAAATAAAAACTGCAATAACTTCCAAACCCATTGAGATCGCATTTTAAATTTTTAACATCGCAATAATAAACAAAATATCCTTTTTAAGGTATTCAAGGATAATGGAAATTTTCCATTATTTGGACGTCATGTAATTTTTATTAAATGGCAATAACGAGAACAGTTTTACGCTCTTGGTTTTGGCTTTTGCAAGTTTTTTAGTAAATTAATGCTTTTTCTGCAAAAATTACTGATAATTTATTCTAATTAGTAAAAACTTTTAGTTGTTGAACGGACCTAATGAAACTCTTATAGTAATACAAAGTATTGTAGTGTAAACCCACTTTTTATATTAGTCTAATTTACAATCTACTATAAATGGTCTTGTATCATTGCATTTGCAAATG